TTTTTTCCCCGTTTTTCGCCCCGTTTTTTTTCCCCCGACCCGTCCCGCGCGGGGATTTTCCCAAAATTCCCTTTTTTCCGCCCAGATTCCTGCGCCTCTGGATCTCGGTGCTGGTGATTTACCCGACCAACCAGGCCGTCATCGCCCTGACCTTCGCCAACTACGTCCTGCAGCCGCTCTTCCCCACCTGCGGCACCCCCGAGCCCGCCCTGCGCCTCCTGGCCGCCGCCTGCCTGCGTGAGTCGCCGGAATTCCCGGAATTTTGGGAATTCCCAAAAAAAATCCGGGGAAAAACGGCGAAAGAACGGCGAAAAACGGCCGAAAAACGGCGAAAAAACGGCGAAAAACGGCTGAGAATTGACCGAAGTTTACACAAAATTGGCCTCAAAATTACTTAGGGATCACTTGAGTCCTTGAGTGATCCCAAAATTCCCGGAATTTTGGGAATTCCCAAAAAAAATCCGGGGAAAAACGGGGAAAAAATGGTGAAAAACGGGGAAAAAACGGCAAAAAAAACAGGCAAAAAATGGCTGAAAATTGACCAAAATTTACTCAAAGTTGGCCTCAAAATTACTTAGGGATCACCTGAGTCCTTGAGTGATTCCAAAATTCCCGGAATTTTGGGAATTCCCAAAAAAAAATCCGGGGAAAAACGGGGAAAAAACGGCGAAAAACGGCGAAAAAACGGCGAAAAAACGGCGAAAAACGGCGAAAAACGGCTGAGAATTGACCGAAGTTTACTCAAAATTTGCCTCAAAATTACTTAGGGATCACCTGAGTCCTTGAGTGATTCCAAAATTCCCGGAATTTTGGGAATTCCCAAAAAAAATCCGGGGAAAAACGGTGAAAAAACGGCGAAAAACGGCGAAAAAACGGCGAAAAAACGGCGAAAAACGGCTGAGAATTGACCGAAATTTACTCAAAATTGGCCTCAAAATTAATTAGGGATCACTTGAGTCCTTGAGTGATTCCAAAATTCCCGGAATTCCCAAAAAAAATCCAGGGAAAAACGGGGAAAAAATGGTGAAAAATGGGGAAAAAACGGCGAAAAAAACGGGGAAAAAATGGCAAAAAAAACAGGCAAAAAATGGCTGAAAATTGGCCAAAATTTACTCAAAGTTGGCCTAAAAATTACTTAGGGATCACCTGAGTTCTTGAGTGATCCCAAAATTCCCGGAATTCCCAAAAAAAATCCGGGGAAAAACGGGGAAAAAATGGTGAAAAACGGGGAAAAACGGCGAAAAAAACGGGGAAAAAACGGGGAAAAAGGAGGGAAAAGTGATCCCAAATCTGGTCAGAAATTACCTGGGGGTCACCTGAGTGATCCCAAAATTCCCGGAATTTTGGGAATTCCCAAAAAAAATCCGGGGAAAAATGGTGAAAAAATGGCGAAAAACGGGGAAAAAATGGCAAAAAAAACAGGCAAAAAATGGCTGAAAATTGACCAAAATTTACTCAAAGTTGGCCTCAAAATTACTTAGGGATCACCTGAGTTCTTGAGTGATCCCAAAATTCCCGGAATTTTGGGAATTCCCAAAAAAAATCCGGGGAAAAACGGTGAAAAAATGGAGAAAAACGGTGAAAAAACGGCGAAAAAAACGGCAAAAAACGGCTGAAAATTGACCGAAATTTACACAAAATTTGCCTCAAAATTACTTAGGGATCACCTGAGTCCTTGAGTGATCCCAAAATTCCCGGAATTCCCAAAAAAAATCCGGGGAAAAACGGTGAAAAAATGGCGAAAAACGGGGAAAAAACGGTGAAAAAATGGGGAAAAAACGGCGAAAAAAAGAGAGAAAAAATGGGGAAAAATGGTGAAAAAGGAGGGAAAAGTGATCCCAAATCTGGTCCGAAATCACCCGGGGATCACCGGAGTGATCCCAAAATTCCCGGAATTTTGGGGATTCCCAAAAAAAATCCGGGAAAAAACGGTGAAAAAAATGGCAAAAAACGGTGAAAAAACGGCGAAAAAAACGGCAAAAACCGGCTGAAAATTGACCAAAAATGACCAAAATTGGCCTCAAAATCACCTGGGGCTCACCTGAGTCCTTAAGTGATCCCAAAATTCCCGGAATTCCCCAAAAAATCCGGGAAAAAACACGAGAAATGGTGAAAAAATGGTGAAAAATTGAGAAAATGAGCCAAAAATGGAGAAAATGAGCCAAAAGTGGTTCCAAATGCCACAAAATTCCCATTTTTTCCCCCAAAATGCCCCAAAAATCCCCATTTTTACCCCAAAAATCCCGATTTTCCCCCCAAAATGACCCAAAATTCCAATTTTTTCCCCCAAAATGACCCAAAATCCTTATTTTTACCCCAAAAATGACCCCAAATCTCATTTTTTCCCCAAAATGACCCAAAATCTTTATTTTTTCTCCCAAAGTGACACAAATTCCCCATTTTTTTTTCCCAAAATGACCTAAAATCATCATTTCTTTCACCGAAAATCCCCATGTCTTTTTTTTCCCCAAATCCTCATTTTTTTCACTGAAATTCCCCATTTTTTTCCCCAAAATGACCCAAAATCCCCATTTTTCACCCCAAAATCATCAAATTTTCCCAATTTTCACTTGGGACTCACCTGAGCCTCTTTTAACCCCATTTTTAACCCTTTAATTCCCATTTTCCCCAAAAAATCCCCTTTTTTTTGCCAAAAATCTCAATTTTTCACCAAAATGACCCAAAATCGCCATTTTTCACCTCAAAATAACCCAATTTTTTCCCTGTTCTCACCTGATCCTTTTTTAACCCTTTCATTCCCCATTTCCCCCCTAAAATCCCCATTTTTCCACCAAAAATCGCCGTTTTTTTCCAAAAATCCCCATTTTTCACCAAAATGACCCAAAATCGCCATTTTTCACCCCAAAATAACCCAACTTTTTCCCTATTTTCACATTATCCTTTTTTAACCCTTCAATTTCCCATTTTCCCCCCTAAAATCCCCGTTTCCCCCCTAAAAACCCCTTTTTTCCCCAAAAATCTCAATTTTTCCCCGAACTGACCCAAAATCGCCATTTTTCACCCCAAAATAACCCAACTTTTTCCCTATTTTCACCTGATCCTTTCTTAACCCTTCCATTCCCCATTTTCCACCCTAAAATCCCCTTTTTTTACCGAAAATCGCCGTTTTTTGACCGAAAATCTCAATTTTTTTGCCGAAAATCCCCATTTTTCACCAAAATGACCCAAAATCGCCATTTTTCACCCCAGAATAACCCAATTTTTTCCCTCTTTTCACCTGATCCTTTTTTAACCCTTCCATTCCCCATTTTCCCCCCTAAAATCCCCGTTTTCCCCCCCTAAAAACCCCTTTTTTCCCCAAAAATCTCCATTTTTCCCCAAAATGACCCAAAATCGCCATTTTTCACCCCAAAATAACCCAATTTTTTCCCTCTTCTCACCTGATCCTTTTTTACCCCTTCCATTCCCCATTTTCCCCCCCAAAACCCCCGTTTTCCCCCCTAAAATCCTCGTTTTTTTGCCCAAAATCGCCGTTTTTTCCCGAAAATTGCAGTTTTTTTTCTTGAGCGGACCCAAAATCGTCGTTTTTCGCCCCAAGCAGTGCTGCTGACGTGGGTGAACTGCGGCAGCGTGCGCTGGGCCACGCGTGTGCAGGACGTGTTCACGGCGGGGAAGCTCCTGGCCCTGGCGCTGATCGTGGGCGCCGGCGGCGTCCTCATCGCCCGCGGTGAGAAAACGGGGGGAAAAACGGGGATTTTGGGCAAAAACGGGGGAATGGGGAAAAATGGGGGGAAAAATGGGGATTTTGGGCAAAAAGGGGGAAAAATGGGGGGAAAAACGGGGATTTTGGGCAAAAATGGGGAAAAATGGGGGAAATGGGGAAATGGGGAAAAACGGGGATTTTGGGCAAAAATGGGGAAAAATGGGGAAAATGGGGGGAAAAATGGGGATTTTGGGCAAAAATAGGGAATGGGGAAAAATGGGGAAAATTGGGAAAAAATGGAGGAAAAACGGGGGGAAAAACGGGGGGTTTGGGCAAAAATGGGGAAATGGGGGGAAACGGGGGGAAAAATGGGGAAAATGGGGAAAAATGGGGAAATGGGGAAATGGGGAAAAACGGGGATTTTGGGCAAAAATGGGGGAAAATGGGGGGAATGGGGGGAAAAACGGCGATTTTGGGCAAAAATGGGGAATTGGGGTAAAAACGGGGATTTTGGGCAAAAATGGGGAAATGGGGGAAAATGGGGAAAATTGGGGAAAATGGGGAAAACCGGGAAAAAATGGTGGAAAAATGGGATAAGTTGGGGAAGAATGGAGAAAATTGAGAATAAATGGGAAAAATTGGGGAAAAAATGGGGAAAATTGGGAAACATTGGTGGGAAAATGGGAAAAAATGGTGGAAAATGGGAAAAAGTGGCGAAAATGGGGAAAAAATGGGGAAAAATGAGGGGGAATGGGGAAAATTGGGTGAAAATGGTGGGAAAATGGGAAAAAGTGTCAAAAATGGGAAAAAATGGGAAAAAAATGGGGGAAAATTGGTTGGAAATGGTGGAAAAGTGGGAAAAAGTGGCAAAAATGGGAAAAAATGGGCGGGAAATGGGGAAAATTGGGGAAAAATTGGTGCAAAATGGGAAAAAATGGGGGAAAATTGGAAAAAATGGGGGGGAAATGGGGAAAATTGGGAAAAAATGGTGGAAAAATGGGAAAAAGTGTCAAAAATGGGAAAAAATGGGGAGAAAATGGGGAAAAATGGGGAGAAAATGGGAAAAAATGGGG